AGAGAGAGGAAGAAAGAGTAAGATGAAAAAGGAGTCAATTATGCAAGCTTATACGGTAAGTTCTACTTTGGTAACTATACGGCACTGAAAGAGTAGGGACTTTTAAAGATAAAGGTAGGTAGAATGTACACATACATTCAGGAGTACATGCATGCTAATGTGCATACAATAGCTGTAACTTGAGGATAAGCTACATTACTGAACCGGCCATTTTGAACCATTAGGTGAACTCAATGACACATACATGTACATGTACACAAATTCAACAATCACAAAAATGTCCAAATTTTGTTAGAAATTCATGTACATGTACATGTACATGTACCGCATGTAATGTATATGCATGTACATGTAGCATGTGAAATATAGAATACATAATGTACATGCATAAAATGACATACCAGGTTGTCCTATTAGTAATATTCTTGGTCTAAAGACAGAGGGTAAGGAGTGAGGGTGTGAACTGAAGTCTAAACAGGCCCCACCACCTGGACTGGTAGAGGTTACGTTACCATCAGGTGCCTCGTCCTCCGTAATACATGTATTGTGGGCGGGGTCAGAATGGGAGTGGTCTGGCTGTGCTATGTCGTCCAGATCAAAGAACACGTTACTGATCTGATCGTTCAGTTGAGACTTTTGAAAAGAAAACGAATCAGTGACACACTTTGACCTAAAAATATTGTGAAACCAAATAAATAATAACATTAAAACAAAAAATAACAACTACATGTACAACAATAAAACAATGCATGTACATGTACCTCAATTTTTATTACATGTACAGCATGCATATTGTACAGCACCCAATAGGTACAAGCTGACAATCATACATGTATATTTATAGCTTACGCATACTAAGATAAACTATATACACGCACTATACACAAACTATGTAAACTATGTAAGAAAGTAAAACATCAAGGGGCTCAGCCCATGAGCCACACTATTGCTGTGGTGTATGACCTTATCTTGCTGTCCACCCGTTTGCGGTATGCTTCAATGAAGATCAGGCTATTTAACTTTAATAACAGTTACCTTAGAGTGACTTTTAATTGCGGGTACTAAATTTTGCGATTTTAGCACAAGGTAGATTTTGCTGGTATTAAAAATTGCGATTCAGTAATTATTACTAATAGTTATATGGCATCATGATGTCATTATTGATAATTGCACGTATTAATAATTGCGATTTTTAACCCAAACGCAAAATTCGCAATTAATAGTACCCGCATTTAAAAGTAACCTTAAGGTAGACAACCCTATGCTCGTACAGACAAACAGACTTTTCTTATCTTAGTGGGCTTCGCCCAACAAGTACAATGTATTAGTTATGCTAGTGTACAGTGCATGTATGTTATTAGTGTATAGTGTATCATGTACTAATATACAGAGATGCTCACACTTTATTCTAGTTTGTTTGTTAACTTATGCCTGTCCGGTGCTGTACATGTACATGTACATGTACATGTATGTATGTGTACATGCATAATTAATCTTTTTAAAAGCTTGTACATGTACAGTACATGCATGTACACGTACGTGTACATGCATGTATGTTAGTGTAAAGACTACTTTACATTAATTCTTTAATTACACATGTACATGTACATGTATGAATACATGCCAATTTCAATGGAAACATGTGCGGAAACAGTGGTATACATGAACATGCATGTACAGTACACATATAATGTACACAATGTACATACATGCATGTACATTTAAAATTTTTCATTTTTAAAATTACACATGTACATGTATATGTATGAATTACATGCCCATGTGCGGAAACAGTGGTATACATGTACATGTACATGTACATGTATACATGTACATGTACAACTTACATGTCAATTTCTTCTATTCCACTGCCCATCAACATTGATCCGTCCTCTCCAGCAGTGGCTATGGTCCTCTCCCTCTCCTTCAGTCTCTCCCTCTCTCTCTTGAGCTTTGGAAGAGTCTTCCCGATCCCTTTCCAAGATGGAGGAAACACGTACAACAAAACATTCAAGACCTCCTCAAACTGACGGCAAAGAAGAGGAAGAACAATATCGGATAAAGGAGCAGCAGGGGAAGCTGTTGATCGCTGAGCAGTAGGGACTATAGACCTGAGGGCTGAAGAGAAGTTGCTAGCGGATAGTTTAATAGTTGAAGTGTCAATGAGGAGTTTTTCTGAGCTGTTGTATATCTGAGGATAGTGTGAGCGGAGGGAATGGAGAGCTGCTTCAGTGCAGAGAGACTTGAGGTCAGCCCCACAGTAGCCTACTGTCTGGTCTGCTAGTTCTTGCAGGAATGATAGTTTCAATGGAGGGGACCAGTGATGGGTGTGTATCTGTAATATACTCAGACGATCCTGGAAGAAAAACATTAGTGTCTTAATTATTACTACAAATACATGTAACTGTACATGTAATTGCTTCTTTTTATTTGTGAATGTAAAATGTACATGCACATGTGTACATGCACCATGGCACCAGCTTAATAATTCTATTTCACTACTACACGTTTAAATACAATGTACATGTAAGATATAATATAACAAATGCAATATATATTGCATGTACATGTCATGTACTGTACATGTACATGTACGTGTACATGTATGTGCATTAATTTTAGCAAAATCACTAAAGCAATGTGCATTTTAGATAATTATATGAATAATACATGTACATGCTTTGTGGGGTGTATGCGTACATTGCATGTATTTTTGAAAGATCAATAAAAAATATGGTAGTGTAGTGTTCACTGTTCAGCTCACTTCTCTTGATGGTAGTGGGAATCTAAATTCTCTGTCAAATCGTCCTGGCCTCCTCAGTGCTGGGTCTATAGCATCAATCCGATTGGTCGCTCCAATAACAACTATCTCCCCACGACTGTCCAGCCCATCCATGAGAGCAAGGAGAGTGGAGACAATGGAGGAGTGGATCTGGTCTTGTCTTGTGGATCGAACTGGAGCCAATCCATCAATTTCATCAAAGAATATGATTGATGGACGCATTTGATAAGCCTATAACACATACAACGTATAATAATAATAACAATAATGATAAATTGTGTAATATACATGTATGCAGTATGTACATGTATCAGACCTGGGGTCAATTACAATTGTAATTGTAATTAAAGGGTCAATTACAATTACAATTACGTAATTGTAATTGTAATTGAACTTCAGCTTATGTAATTGAAGTTTCAAATATATTTGAGTTACCTAACTACAGAATGTACAGATGCACAAAGAAATGTTCTTTATGTACTTTGGTATCTTTGGGTATTTTCGATACTGCAAAGTACCAAAATAACTTATGTTGTTACAATACATGTACATCAAATTGTAATTGTAATTGAAAATGTAATTGAAATTACACTATCATGGTGTAATTGTAATTGTAATTGAGTCTATTTTTATAAAAGGAGTGTAATTGAATGTGTAATTGTAATTGAACTTTTGTAATTGACCCCAGGTCTGACATGTATACATACATGCACATGTACAAATGTATAACTCTAGCATAAACATGTACAAGTCCATGCACTGTTAATTGTGTGCTCTATTTGTTAATTGGCTCTATTACACATACATGTACATGTACATGTACATGTACATGTACATGTACATGTACTTGTAATTTAATACAAAATTTTCTTCAAATTTCCAATTTCACAAGCATAAAAAAGCATATGCAAACTCAAGGAATCAAATCCTGTCCATTCAAACATTATAACTGTAAACCAGCACTTGTTGCTTAATTACTGTACATGTACAATAATTATATGCTTTAGATTGGATCCTCTTACTTGATCAAAAAGGAGTCTCAGTTGTCTTTCACTCTCTCCAACCCATTTGCTTAGGCAGTCGGCTCCTTTTCTCATGAAGAAGGCCACCTTACGTCCTTCCTTGGAGCACTCGTTAGCTAATGCTCTAGCCACTAGTGTCTTACCACAACCTAATAATATACATCAACATGTATCAGTTATTAGTATGTCTATAAGACCAGTATAAGCATACAGTATACAATGTACATGTACATGTCTATGACTGTGACTGTGAATGTACATGTACAGTCAAACCTCTCTAAGACAGACACCTATGGGCCAGCCATCACTGTCCTTTATTACCGAATACGGAGGTGTCTTTAAATCGGAGGTTATGCCATGCTAATCAGACCAGAAAAACTGCCATTTTCTTGATGCGCGTTAATTAGAAAGTCCGTTGCGTGGGCCATGTTCATCCATTGGAGGTTAATTTGTACATGTGTAGATGTGTGGGATTATTCTGTTATACAGAATAGAGAGGTTCTGCTATACAGAGGTTCTTTTATACACTACCCAATGGCCTTATGGTCGGGACAAGAGCAACTGTACGTTATAAAGAGGTGTCCACTAATTGGGAGTTCGTTTTAGAGAGATTTGACTGTACACCTTAAAGACTTCATTATTTATAAACTTTCATGTACACATACATGTACATGTACGTAAGTAAAATTAGCTAAAGCACAAAACATTAACTTTAAAGTTCAGTTTAGAAATTTACAGTTTAATTCCCACAAAGCATTCTAAGTGAGCTAAACAGCATGATTCATGAGCTGACAAGCACTACAATACAGTATAATTATGACATGTAGAGTAGAACAACTTTTTAATCATAAAAATTCAAATTGGATCAAAATCAGCTCAAAGTTGATAAACAGCATTAAGACATGTACATGTGTATGTGTACATGTACATGTCATGCACATACATGTACACATACACGTATGTATCACTATAAGCTGCAAATGAGCACCTATGCCAAAATTCTGGGGAAACCCTTGCATCTGAGTTAGCACTTTCAAACTAAAAGTGTTCACGCGTACATGTAAAATGTGCACCTTTAAAATTTCATTTCTCAGAAACTGAAGGTGGGCTAATTCTTATTGATGCATGCTCCCATTGGTTTATATAGCACTTCTGGTCGTGCATGCGTCATATTGAGAACCAGCCTTAATACTCCAAATAGGAATAGATACAATGTACATGTAACATAGCCTTGATCTCTCTTACATGTACATGTATACAGTATATAATGTACATGCATGAAGATGTATACAGATGCATGGTTAGGTACATGTACACATGACACATGTACATGTATGGTTACCAGGTGGTCCGTGAAACAGAACTCCACGAGGAGGTGATATATGAAATGTCTCAAACACCTCCGGATAAAGAAGAGGAAACACAATCATCTCCTTCAGTGACCTAATATGTCCAGTCAGTCCCCCAATGCTATTAAAGTTAGTGTCCCTATCAATAGTCATTGGATTGATGTCTGCTAGACTAGCTCCTATGGCCACTCTGTCTCTTGTTGGTCCTGTTGTGATGTCGTCTTGTGTGAAGTTCATTGGGAGGCACTCGGAGCGGGACCTCTTCATGCTTCTCTTCTTACGACGCTTGAATCGAGCCTCGTCTGAGTCCTCATCACTACTGGAGGTACTGGACCCCTTGAGAGAGAGGGGGGAGGGAAGGAGAGAGGAGAGGGTCACAATTGAACAATTGAATCACAATTGTACAAACATGTATGCCGTAGAGAAATTTTTGTGGCTCAAAATTTCAAATTTAAGGCGGATTTACAATATTACGATAGGCTTGATGTTACGTTAACGCTGGAATAGGATTTGGTTCTAATCTAGCAGAAAGCATGCGTCAAAAGGTCAAATCACCCACACTTTTGATTAAAAATTGACGGTACACTGGCCTAATGTCATATCGTAAATCCGCCTTTAGTCCTTAAAATTTTTCTTTTCTATTAATCAAGCTATGGCAGGCCCAAGATGTATTTGCAAGAAACAACTTTACTCTCGGCCAACAGCAAATAAATTGGGCCACAGATATTTCTAGAATTACCTGATGTGTTTTGTGTCTCAGAGTGCTTGGCCTGTGTCTCTGTACTTGATAAGCAGAGGGTCCATTGCCAGTTGATCTGTGATAACTGAACGAGTGCTTCCTTCTCTTATTCTTCTGCTTCTTATGAGGCGACTCCTCAACAACCTACAATAATGGAACATGCACTAGTAAATAAGTAATAATATCTTATAACAGCTACATGTACATGTATATTGTAGCGATTGTACATGTATGTGTACATGTGCATCATGTATGTGCCTATGCATGCATGTATTAATTCTTTTACTAGATATGCATGCATACATGTACATGTACATTCTCTAATATCCCACATTCCACAAGTGCATGTACATGTACACCTACGTATACATGTACTGTATCTTCCTCCTACTACATGCATATTACATACAATATGTACACGTACCTGTATAACAGGTTGATACTGATACACAACTGGTCTTCTCTTCCGTAGATTATAATACCCGGTCTCTTCATCTTCCTCCTCCTCCTCTTCTTCTTCCTCTTCTCCCCCTACCTCCTCCTCCTCCTCCTCCTCTCCCTCTTCATCCTCTCCTTGTTCTTCTTCTTTAGCTTCCATCTCTTCCTTTCCACTGGTTCCTTTATTATTATTAGTATTGCTTACTGATGTAGCAGTGGCTGAGTCTTCGGTTTGAAGTCCTCTGAGAGAGTAGTGAGTCATTGTTGGTCTGTAACGTCTTTTGGCAAGAGGAGAAAGGAGCTTCTCGTAAGGCTCTAGCTCATCCTAAATAATATGAGGACACATAATAACAACTGCATACATGTACATGCACGTACAAAGTACTTTTCTAAATGCTAGTTAAGATGTATACATGTACATGTACACGTACATACCACAGGTAGTTTATTTTGCAGCTGCAAATATTCTTGGTGATAAAAACTAATAAAAATATTCAATTAAATACCATGGAAACTATTGAGCGTTGCTATTGTTGCTATGATAATTGACCACGTGTTTATACAATTACAGTGTTCAGCAGCTAATCAGCTATTCTTTAGCAGCTTTAGTGGAGCCATCCAGACTCCAGTTCTCTATCCGTCATCTTCTTGCATAGATGGACTGCTCTTTGCTGCAAATCAGTGCTGGTCGGTCGGTCATGACTATAAGCCACATATAAGTCAATAAACACTAACTAGAATGGATTAAGAGTCCCAAAATACAGCGAGACAGAGTGAGCGGAGAATCTCTGAAAGGAACTGACTTTTAAAGCAACTTCAAAGAGTCCAAAGATTAGTAACAGCAAAAAGAACAGCTGCGCCGTTTTCATTAAAATAGCATCTGATTGCTATGGCAATTGCTAGGGGCGGGAAAAATCCGCGAATATTAGCAGCCGTGAATATAAATCGACTTATGGTAGCTGATATTGGTACCTTATGGCGGATAATTAAATTTGTCTTTACAGTTTAGTGGTAACTAAAGATCTAACTTCCTGTGCTCCAATGCTTTGCACAGGATTGGTAAGCAATGCTTCTTTAGGAGAACACACACAAGTTGATAATTTTTCATTATAATGATTTTAGTAATCCACCAGATGGTAACTTTTCTCAATTATAGTCACAAATAATTATAAATTGGGATATGTGCTTGGCTAGTTTTATTTCCATCATTTCAATGTACATGCAGTAGTGCCATATAATGTACAACTAGTGTATGAAATACTGCACTACTACTACACATACCGTATAGCGGAAAATTTTCGTGGCCCAAAATTTTTGCGGATCCGTCCAAAAATCAATTATGTGGCGTTAAATTTCGTGGCTTTAATTTTTGTGGTTTTCTACATTTCGGCCATCTTAAACCGTATAAAATCGATCTTCGCGGATTTTATTTTCGTGGGATTTGAAAAAACGCAAAATCCATGAAAATTTTCCGTTATACGGTAGTATCTTTTGTCATTTACAGTCACATTTTTTCTAATTACTATAAGAAATCAAAATAACACAAGTATACACTGCATTCCTAATACATGTACATGTACATGTACTGTAGATGATGAAATAGTGCAATATTGCACTATATACCATGAAATTTATGCAACAAAAATTTGTGTGAATCATGCATTTCTGAGATTTCACAAAATAAATTTTTGCAAATAGCTTACAAACTGCACCAGGTGGCAACGGAGCTGCAAAATTTTTTTGCGATTTTGATTTTGCAACAGAGCAAAAATCACGAAATTCACAATTTTTTTTTTCGCATAAAATTCATGGTATACGGTACTTACTTCACTTGATTCATCAATGAGACATGCTGATTTGTTGAGTATTGTATTATCAATCTCTCGTGGAGTGAAGTTAGCATAGACCAGCCTCTTCTCTCTCTTGCTCCTCCTCAGAGGAATGAGAGGAGCAAAGTTATGAGAACGAGTTGAGGCCTTCTTCAGGACGCGTGCTTTTTTACGAGGCCTAGAAATTTAAAAAAGGATAAAAATTGCTGGGTCACTGACTCACTATATTGGATGTACATGTACATGTACAGTATTAGGATAATAAGAATACATGTACATGTACATACATGTATACACATGTAGCTATTACATATTAAAATCCAAATTGGAGAGACAGTAATCATTGATGGGGAATGTCTTAAAATTGTAAAGTCTCTTGCATTTGAAATTGATAGCTCAGGGAAGACACACCAAGTACATTGCTTGACTCAGTTTAGACTCAGTTGTTATTATCATAAATTCATATTGTCCAAAAGTATTATTATTATCGTATTATTATTATTATTATTATTACTATGGACAA